TGCTTTCAGTCTTATCTTCACAAATAGGCGAAATACAACGTTTTATTCCCATAGGGTTTAGTTTCACTTTTATTTCTATCCGTTTCTTAGAAGCATCAATGCGCAAGATGACTAATAACGTGCAGTTTAGCAATAAACCTTTCGTTTTTATCAGAAATCAGTCTATTATACCCACAGTTTCTATTTTTAGTTGTCTTCGTTTGCCGACGATATTGGTTTTGCGGGTAATTATATATATATATATATATGTTGTCACGCAAATTCGAAGACATAAAAAGCAAAATAAATATTAAACAGCAAGTTGTCTCTCACCCCGCTGGGTAGGCAGCCATGTTTTAACTACAGACAGAGGTACAGATGACAGTCGGAAAAGCAAGTTAGTCTGTCGCTACTGTGAAATCGATGAGAGGAGTTAAAACACACACTCAGTACAAAACATAACATCTGAATTTTGTTTAAGAGGGACATTACATCAATGCTTTTGTATAGTTAAGAGATTTGGTATTTTCAATAGGTAGCTGCTTTCTGTGACTCAATCAGATGGCCTGCCAAAATGCATATGCAAGTAACGAGGATTATTGAGGGCGGTGAATCGACTAACAACCTATTACCAAGCAAATATGAAGAGGCAAATGCAGATTAATGTACTGGGCTAACATTAAGAAGACTGTTGATTGACATTACACCTGAGGGTGAAGTGATGTGTTCGGAGTTCGTTTGATGGTGACATTATGAAGACTGTAAGAACGGAGAATACAAAGGGAGGGCGTTTGACTGATTTCATGACTGATCATGAAATGACTTCAGTTAGAGTACCATTGAAAATCAGGACTGGAATACTGGACAGGAGTTTCGTCCATATTTGGAACTCTTCAGACACATGTACTCATAACCCCAGCAAATGCTGAACTACCTAGGACCTACAGGTTACAAGAGAGCTCGTTGGATATTCCGTCACTGGAACGAAATTCAATGACGAGCCAAAAAATTCTAACTTCTGTCAGTTTCCAATATACAACACGACTAACAGTCAGTGTGCTCAAGCCAAAATCAAAACTGAGTTGCCTGTAGTTCCAGTGGAAATTTCGTGGCTAACGGGCTACACCAAGTCGGATATAACGGCAAATAAATGCCTATGACTGTAACTGGCTGTCGCCTGATATATGGTGAAGTGTAACAGAATATAGAATTCATTGTCTCGCCATTAAATTCTGTTCCATTGACTGATTGATCTGTTTGTAACCTAAAGGACTTGGTTTCCATCACTTGTGTAATCGTGGGTGATTACTACTCAAGAGTTCCAAGTGGAACGGAACAGATTTCTGGTACTCTTCGGTGATGGCTTTTAATGTTTCTCGAAATGTAGCCATCTCGTGACCAATCTTTAAAATATAAATATGAAGAAGAAGTATTTGTTCATCAAGCCCACTTGAATCAAGAGTTGCAGTTCACCTTCTTTCATTAATTTGTAATACTTTATTGAACAGCGCTTCCCAGTCTTCTGGAGTTTCAATAGCAGTGGTGCTGCTCTGTTCCTTACAAGGTAGGGTAACGAAAACACTTGCCTCACTTTCAGACTTTTCTCGGTTTCCTATCAGCTACTAGACTACACAAGGCATAGGAGTGAGTCAGAGGTTGGGAATCAGACGTGAACCTACTGTGAGGCTGTCGGGTATTCCAGCATTGATATATCAAATTTCCAGTTCGCAAATAATCCGCCATTTGCAATTCACACAGCTTGGCTGGGTGACATTTAAAAACCAAAGTTATTCACATGAAAACAATGTTTGATCTGTCCTGGCTATCACGATAGCAAGCACATATGTCTGTGTACTATTGATTGACTTATATGAATGATTAGCATATAGAATCATAGCATTGGAATAATTCTACGACAAACCATTATTGTTACCAGGTGACAATATAATTTACGCGCAAGCGATGTGACTACTTAATAATAAATAAGTAATATAAATGTTTTCACAAAATAAAACTCTAACAGTTAGATTTTCGTCATCAAAGAAAATGAACTACTTAGCAATCGAAATTAATCCGAGATCTACACAAATCTTACAGTCTGGATGTCAGTAGTTAGCTCATTGTTGACTAATGGGTGATTTTCCTGAGGCTTTCCTGAGAAGTCGTACACAGTGGGGTCCACCGTGTCACATAGATAAAGAAAATGCTTATCGAAGGCATCGGTAATCAAAGAGCTATAGCGACAATGGAAAAAGTTAGAAATCACGTGTCAATGAACTCAACTTTGGTGGGCTGGATAGTTAATGAGCACGACTTCGCAACCTGAAGGTGCTGGGTTTGATCCGTGATTGTACTGTGAGTGTGCACTGTGAGGAGTTCCAAAATGTTACAAAACAGCTGTCCAGTGCTCCTGGATGGTTTATAATAATGTCTCTAACTAATGTTCTTTCGCGACAAAATCTTACAGTTGAAATCAATCCAAAATTAACACAAGTCCTATAATCTGAACAAAATAAGAAGGTGGTAACATATCAACCGGAAAGAGGATCGGCAATAACAAAGCAATGCTCCTTATTCTATTATGAAATACAAGTCATTATAAATAAATTAGTAAACGTTGATTTAACATCATGAAGGTGTTTCACTCAGATAAACACTAAACAGACAATACTACTTCCTCACTCTCGAGAGGTGGCGCTACCCGTTGGCTAGGAAACATTGTCCCCCAGAAATATAAATCCCTACACATCTTGAAGGAGTCACTCAGTAGTTGGTGGAAAGATTTAATTCAAACTGGCATTGTGTGTGTGACTGGTGTGAAGCAGTGTGGTCTATTATACAACATGCCACACTTCTGGTCTCACCAGCATATAGATATAAGTATGTCTTCAATGTGACTGTGATTGATTTCTTGGATTAAAGTCGACAAAAAGCTTTTTTAAAATACAAGTAGCTCAGTAAGTCAGGAAAGACTAAATTCTGTGGTATAGAATAATGTCACTTTTCATTTCATCGATTTTCATCAGCTACAGCTTATGCATAGATAACCTCATTCACATATCAACTAGTGTGGTGGTTTGATACGGAAAATGTGTTCCAAAGGAATATGATTCTCACATATTCTAACAGTTCCATTCAGTACTGGCAACAGTTTATTTGAACATTCTATTTCATATCGTCTGATGTACACCTAAATCACGGTCAGTGATTGGTTAAGAATTAAACTGTAGATATGTAAACACCGGTTTGATTAATGAAAAATATAATTTGGCTTCTGTGTCTTACCTTTTGCTGTTGCACTTTTAGTGCCTCCTTGCTATCTAACCACATGATGGCAATGGTATAAATGCAACCAAGAAGTTGTTTCTATTGTTTCGGACTGAGCTCATCCACCATTGGTATATCCGTTGCCTGATTCATGTCCTTAGTAAGCAGGTGAGGGAGAGAGGGAGCTGAATTATTTCAAAATACTCGAATTGCTTCATTCTTTGAGTGCTGTTTATAGCAGCAGTATCAAGCAGATCAAATATTATCTGTGTTTGATCTGAAAGATTTCAGTTTTCAAAGGTATTTATGGTGTAAGTTCACCTAGAATTGTGCATATTGCAAATTTGATGCGTTAACCTTAGGCTGTGGGTCCGCTTCGATTATTACGCTACCTAATTTCCAAACTAATGGCCATAGTTTCCCGTGTTCATTGATACAAATGTATGGATGCCGTATATTCCGACAGTTAGTTCACTGTCTTAGATTCGACGTCAAAGGGGACCTTGAAAGTTAGCACTGAGGTCAAGATTTACTGAAAAGACTTATCGACATGGATCAGGCTTATCAAGCAATAAAGTACACTCAGTGAAGCAGCCGATACCAATAGAAATTAACACAAACAGATAAGAGGAACCTTTGACAACAACTAATCAAGGCCGAGGTAATCAAGACAGATAGTTGTATCATTCACAGAGAATTCTTACTACATTCCTAAAAAAGATTTCCTAACCACTGAAGTAGGTGCTGAAGCGAAAGAAGAAACAAAACTATTGGAGGTCAGAGTACATTACAGAATAAACAATATTTTGTTGAGTGATATTCTGTAGAGTACTACAATTTGCATACACAACATAATGAAACTTCTAAACATTATATTGACATGCTGTTCAAAATAAAACTATTATTATAATTAACTCTGTAGAACTGATGTTAACAGTGACTTGACTCGAGTTCCACTTGGAACACTGATAGGCACTCTTAGCACCTGACTATTGGATAAATAATAAGTGAAATTTTGAAGCACTGGAGAATATCTGTTTTGTGACATAGTTAAAGAATACACACTTAACAGGCACAAAAACCTCACCAATGATGGTGAAACAAGCAGCAGCCCTGAAAGAAGATTTGAGTAGCCAAGCCCTAACCAAAACTCTAATATTTCTCTAGCTTTAACTTCAGTTAATGCTTCTATATTGGTTCTGAAACATAACACGTCATGAGAAGAACTTTCAACAAGCTATTGAAAACTCTCACCAACAGCTGCTTCGTTCTCCCTGTCGACATTGAAGATTGGATAGTTGGCCGACCAGTAAGAAGAAGTAACAGAGAAATCCTCCAGGCGATGTGCAAACCAACAAATTACTTCCAAACAAATACGCAGAAGGAAATGCAGATGAATGGACCTGATATACTCTCAGAAGTTTGTTGAACGAAATCACACTACAGACCCTCAAGTAGAGCTCATATCTAACGCGATGATTCAGGTGTGTCTGTCCGAAGGTGACAGAGTGGAGTTGGTATCGTAAGTGAGAGGAGAAAGACATAAAAGCTTATGGGCGTCTGTGTAGCCACGTGAAGTGTACTACACAGAATAGAGTTTTACTCAGAACTCATGGGGATAATAATAATGCTGCATTGTTTAAACTAGAACTTTTCTAAATTCACTGATGAATTGTTCACCAACAGTCGGATGGTTTATAATCTCTCCATTTAATTTAAACTTATTTTAGTTTTCTTTTTACTTCTTTTTATAGATAAATATTGAACGAAGATGGCGCCAAATCCGTTCAATTGTTCCAATAGTTTGTTTTATCACATATCTGCTAGAATTATACTAATTCTAATGCTGTGCTCTGCCTTACGAATCGATGGATTTCTTCATAATTATGATTTTAAGAATTCAAATAGTGATTATGAGCTAGCATATGATATTTATACAAATTCAGATTCAATAGTGGATAAATGTTTGGCAATTTGTTTATACTGTCATCATGATGTAAGTCTTTTATGCATAACGGAAGAAGACATTAAGTTAATGTTACCAACTAGAAGAAATCTCCTACTATAATTTGCTCTAGCCGAAGCGTTAGGTTCTTTCCAATTGGTAGTCAAGGGATTAATAATAATAATTATTATTATACTACTATTAGTGTGCAGGTTTTTGTGCGTCGGTGGCACAGTGGTTAGGACTCTCGCCGACCATGCACATGGTCCGGGGTTCGATCCCCTGCCAACGCACACCCGATATCTATGGTCGGCCTGCAAAATTTGGGCTACCGATATCCATGCTGAAAAATCCATACTTGTACTGAAAATACGGTGTGGCATCAAGATGTAATCAAAATAAAAAAATAATAAATACATGTACATTTATATTAACCTTTTGTTTTCGCTTTAACTTACTCCATTTTCAGAAAAACACCTTCGACCAATGTGCAAATAATCGATGTCAACAGTTAGAAAATGTTTTCTTCCCAAAACATTTTGATAAAGACTGCTTATTCTATCGAACAGTTATTATGAGTTAAAGTTTACTACAAATAAAGAAAGAACGGAAGAATAATAATTGAATGACCAAAAATAATTGAACATTGTTTATTGCTTAAATTATATATTCAATTATTTAATAAATAAATAAACTGATTATATAAGTATCTATTTATTCAAGAAAATTATTTTAATACTTAAATTTCAGGGCTTATGTAGATGGCGTGAGTTCAATTTGTTGCAGTATAGATAGTTTATCTTTAACCAAAGAGGTTAAAATTCTACCTCCTGTCCCGTGCTAAGTGACATAACATGCTAAGCAATAATGAGGCGGTTAGGAGAAAAATGCGAGGTATGGCGAGTACCTCAATCAATGAGATTCTGATGTAACATCGATTGAGATGTGAAGGATATGTGTTATGCATGCTAAGCCACCTACATCCTCGCCGAAAATGTGTTGAAGGTAACTTGAGATTTGCATGTAAAAGATTACGTTAGGATGGCGGTGAACAAGTCAAAGCATGTGAAGTCTTTGAAAGTTGGTTTGAGTAATCCACATACAGAGGTGTGAACTGTCTGGTTGTTTGAGGTACTGGAAAAACTGTTGGTCTGGCATGCCCCAAAATTCTGTCTCTTTACTCCACTTTTGTTTGGTAACTTGAACTGGTGGTGCACTTCCCTGCAAAGTAATTCTCTTTTGAAATGAAGACAGTCAGTCGTACATTTTGTCAAGGAACTGAGATAATGGTAATAAGAGCTTTACTCCAAATAGTAGTATTGATACAATGTGAAATTTTCAGTATATAGTAAAATATGTTACGTGTAATTATCTACTTACGCTGCCTAGTACTGGGCGAAGGGAATAAAATTAACACGACATTTGCATTGATTATAATGCCAATGAGAATATGAATATCAAATTAAAATCTAAGAGGAAATATTAACAACAATGTATTAGTGCGAGAGAAAAGGGAAAGGGCAGCTTACTCAGTGTTTCTCATTGAGTTACTAGGGTCATACCCCACACGTTTCTCATCACATAAAATCACTGTCAGATGAATAAGGTATCACTGAGATTTTATGTTTAGTTGTATATTATATTATTATTCCTTCACGTTCCCAGTGGAATATGGGGCTTCAAGCTAGAGGCTTGAAGCTGTCTGTATCAGTGTTTATTTTTACAGGATAGGGTTGCTAGTCTCATGCCCAACCTTTACCAGCTTTATTTATGGCTTAGCGAGGTAAGGCAGTGCGTCGTCTGAGGATCGAACTCCAGACCATGTGCATGGTCGCCGAGCGTCCTAACCGCTGTGCCACATACGCACTTTAGTTGTATATACGAGCATAAAATTCTGTTTAATTGCTTCTAGTGCTACTTGATGAGATGCGAGGAGCGAGTCGTGCATAGAGAGGATGTTCAGAGTTCATCCGACAAGATGGTGTTCGCTAATTCCTTGCCTCAGGCCATGTGTCCATTATCTACAACAATATTAAAAAGTTGGTTTCGAGATATCGCAATCCTGCTACTGATAGCTTTCAGTGCTCTTCTCAGAATAACGGTGTCCCTCTTTAGTAGCCCAGAAAAGATTAAATGGTGAGGGTTCATTGGAGAAGAATACGTCGAGCCCAAGAATTAATGAAATGTCAAAGTAGACATTGACTGAGTGAGATCAGATTGTCTTCGCTGCGTCACGTCACATGAATCATGGAAACCGACCAGACTGTGTAAATTTCATTTATGTCTGAAAGTGCTGTTTGACAATCTGACATTTGGAGAGATTTAGATTTACGGTTAAATGCCATTGAGTTTGAAACAATCTGACTGAGAAGTAACTGACATTGAGACAGTCGGATCATCAGAATACTTATCCAATTTGCTTCGTCAGAATGATGCAAGAAAGAGAAGCACCTCAATGAACACTGATTTTGATTACGTAAAGCAGCGGGAGACTTCCGATTATATACAGTGAAGTGCTTCTGTATCAGATAGCTTGTTTAATCAAACAGGCCTGCATACAGAGTCTAAGGTAGACGCATAATTAAAGAAGATACAGCGAACAAATTTAGAAACTCTATTCAAAATGGAGACACTGAGAATCGATGAAGGTGGCAACACCACCACCTGATTTCTTCTTGGAGCTATACGGATATTTTCTGATTGATCTGAAACCGTTTAGGCAGACTTTGTAAACGTCGCGAAGATCATGCAGTCAAGTTTCTTGAAGAGTTATTGTCCATGTACTGTGATACACATTAAGAAACATGCTAGGTTGCAGACAGTTAATTTTATCAGACACGGAGCCACAGGTTGTATTCATAATATCGTCAATAGTCATTTCATGTATTGTAATACATCTTAAAACATGTTGCCACATAGAATGATACTATTTTCAGGTTGATTGAAAATTTGTAAATCAGATAAGGCGATGATACATTCTCTTTCATCTTACATCTACATCGCTTTCTTTCCCGCATTCTTCATTGACAAAAGCAATGGCGATCTAATGGGTATCTGATTTTCTACAAGTAGTTGCGTTGTATTTGGGCGGTTTTGTAATGCATGTTTTGCTTAGGGATATGATGACTTCAGATCTAATATATACTCATTCCAACTGTGTTTTAACGTTTTTTACACAGCTACAAGGCTTGTTGCATCGCATAATGTGTTGAGATTGGTCAACTGTTACGGTGGTCATCAGTGACTACGAACCCGTAGGTACCTACACATTTCTTGAATTGTGATTATACACCTCATATTTTATGCGTTAATATTTTTCAGTCATGCAGCCCACTACTCTGTTTTCCTCGACAATTAACTGTGACTATCAGTAGAAATAATCGATTAGCAATGGGACACTTATAAACGAAGTCGCTTTTAGACATTTATCATCGGCAATCAGTGTGAGTGAAACAGGCACTGATGTAATTTCATAGATTATGCCAAGAGGATGTTTCATCATCTGGAAGGATGCTGAGAATGCACTAGAAGAATTTTAGAAAGTTAGAACCCTGTAGCAGTAGGTAATTCCTTGAAATTATTGGCCTACAGCATTCATCACTCAACACTGAATGCTGACCTCCACTGTTTAAGTCGAATTGTTTAGCTAAATGCTCTAATTCACGCATCCATGTCATATGGCATGCTTTCGTGTTACTTTCGGCCAATCGTGCACGATCCATAGCTAGTTAAACAATCATCCTCGCACCAAGATTCCGACTACGAAATATACTTCCTATTTTAGACGATCAATCTGGTGTTTTGATTTCTCGTTGGTCTACGCAGAACAAACACTATAGGCATAGTGGGTATAAGATCTTGTGTTATTATACATCGTAATATCCATGAACGTCAACGTATCCTTGGCCTTTGAAACCTTTTAAGCTGCACGCAATTTGTTCATAGGCGGAGCAAACAAACAACAGATGATAGGAAAAAGCAAGTGTGTGACTAAGTTGAGAATTTTCAAGCTTTGCCATAAAACAATCAGCCAACAAGGGACCCAGTGGTGATCCCATGGCAATGCCATCTTTATTAACTTATTTTATCAATTGTAGTTAATCGCGTGGTGAGAAGCTGCGAGAGACCAGCAAAGTCACGTGACTTTATGCATCTTCAAGCACATCACCAATCATCCCGCTTGATGAATACTGCACTAATATGAAGTTGATCAAGTTTTACATTGAAAAACTTTTGGATTCGTTTGGAGACACCTTAGCATCAGATTATGCATGAGGGGTGACCAAAGAAATGCTGCGCTTATAGGTGAACTAACTTCCTTGGTGTTAACTTTAAATGAAACTTTCGCTGTAGCAATCACAACACAACTTCAGTTGGACTAGACTGTGTAGCCAAGTAAGTACTTTTTCACGTCTTACTAATACATTACGGTTTCATCCATCCTGACAACTAATTTATTTTCACTCGAGAATAAGAAAATTGTAGTAGACAGGATGTGAGGTGCACTCAATGAAAAATTGCAACAGTGTATACACAGAATCAATTACCGTAATTATTTGGGCTGCGTTGAATTACCGTGACCAGGTGGACTGACGTTTCCGGACTTCTGCAATGAAGGTCCTGTTCAATCATTTGCAATTAGGAGAAAGTATAACAGAAGTTGGAAATTTTTTTTATATTGCCTACACGTTTTCTGACAGCAGTTCAATCTTCTTCCTTAATAGGTGGTTATGACACCAAATTTTTGTGGATTTTACCATTACATAGATTGCGTTTTCATGTGGTCACGCCTAGAAAATTTATGTTACCGAGACCTCTTTTCGTAAGCTGAATGAAAACTTAAGTGCGTTTATATGTCACTGGCACACTTGTAGTCCTAGGAACAAGCTTCACGAACTAATCATACTGTGGTGGTGTGATACGGACAATGTGTGCCAACGGAATATTATTCTCACATATTCCTATAGTTCAATTCGACATTAGTAACAGAATACAACGTATCTTTTTGAATATGCTGTTTGGTGTTAGAGATAGAATACATCACCCATGGTAAAATATTGTATTAACAAAAGAATACTATGCATATTTGAACATTAAATTTCATGTCGTGTGATGCAAACCGAAATCATATACAAACAGCAGTTAGATCAATGAAAAATATGCTTTGGCTTTCGCGTCTTGCCTTTTTTTTTACAATACTATGAATGAACCACAACACGATCTTATTGTCAGTGGTGAAACATCGTTTTTAGACGATAAGGGTCTCAACCCACCCATTTCCAGTTATACCTGCATAAGAGCAGACAAAGCAGCTGATCGAAAAGGCAGACGGCTTGTTCCATACTTCAAGGATGACATTGAGATTAGGACAATGATTTCAGAAACGTACGACAGCGACACACGTTACGCCGTTAGTTATATTCATAACTTGTACAATCCTACTCTGACGGTCAGGGTTATCCACCGAAGTCATATCAGCCAAGCTGAGGACTTGTTCCTAAATCATATGAGTGCAAGTGGTATTAGAAATAGGTGTGTAGACCTGGATTCCTTTAATGTCTCACACATTTATTGGGAGGAACT